CTGCGCGCTGCGCGAAGCACAGATCCGGGAGCCAGGCGGGGCTCCCGGGGCAGCGATGGGGGGGGCCGGAAGGGACCCCCAGCCTGGGGTCTTCCTCGCGCCCGGCTCCCCACCTCCAGTTTCTCAGCCTCTTTCCCCTCCAGACTTTCTTGCCTTTAATGAGAGGGAGAGAGAGTTGAAAAAAAGGAAAGCGGTGTGCTACACGATTTTTGTTTCTTTTTGAATATCAAATTGCACCGAGGGAGAAGCCCCTGGAGTGGGGATTTTTATCTGCTCACATTTGTAAAACAGGTACTTTAGACTTTGTATAAAGAAGCACCGTTGACCGAGTGTGTCTATTGAAATGTCGACGCTATTTTCGGATGAACCGGCCGGAAGAGTCAGGTCTGTTACGGAGTGGACGGTGGCTCGGGACACAAGCTTCACGCGGCTGCCCCTCCCTTCTCTTCAGTCCTTCCTCGCTTCCACCTCCTGGCTGCTTGGGCCGACTTCGCCCCTTCCCTCCAGCCTTACCCCGTTCAGCGTGGTTCTGCCCGGTCACTCCGCGTCCTGACGTCTGGCCCGGACCGTCGTGCGCGTCTCGCCAGCTCTGGAGACGCTGGCCGCCGGGTGGGTGGACAGGGGCCGGGGCCATGTGCCAGGGGGTCTAAGGCTGCGGCCGCGCGGGGTGTGCGCCTGTTGGGTGTATTTAATTCTCAGATTTGTACAAATCTCGAATGGATCTCTGCCTCAGCTCAAGAGTGAAGCTTCGGTACCTATCGTCTACGGTCGTGGGTCGTGAATGTCTGTATCCAATACCGCTTCTTATGTGTTTAAATATATTCTTTGTAAATAGACACACGGTCTTGGTTTTATTCTTTATTAACATTTTCCCTTAAATATGGGGAAGAGGCCGCCTAGGACTGAGGGGAGGGTCGGGTGCCTCCTCTCTGATTACCTCACACTCCACCCTCGACCCCTTTGGCCTGGGGTGCTACAGATTCCCGACCAAAGCCCTTCCCCACCAGGGGGGCCTCAGCAAGGGGGAGAGGTGGGCTTGGGAGGGAGCAGGTAGGGCTCTCGAGTCTCCCCGGGAAGGCCTCGGCTTTCTTCCCTACCGCTCGCTCTTCCTTGGGACCCGGCAGACCGTGGGGCGCCGGGAGGGCGCGAGACCTCGGGATTCCCCTTTCCTCCGGCGCCCCCCCTTCCGCGGGCTGGACGCCGCCCGTCTCTGAGGCCCGGAGCTTTCCGCCTTGCTCCCCGGCTTTTCCTGGCCCGCTTCTCTGTGAGGTCGAAGTACCTGTGCCCCCGACCCACCCGTTCTCGCCGGCGCTCCCCGAAAGGGAGAGACTCGCGCCTATTGATTCAGGAATTGAATTCGCGGGTATTGCTAGGCAACTGCCTGCTCGGAGCCGGCGCAGAGCGCGCTGATGTGATTAGTGAACCTGGAGCTCCGGCGCCGCAGCCCGGCGCGCCCTCCCAGCACCCGCCTCCCCGCCTCTCCGCCAGGTCTTCTCGGAGGGCAGATACCCCAGTGCTGGGCGAGGGACTGTCCAGGGGAGCGCAACGAGGTTGCCGGCAGACCTCGTTCTCCGCCCCAGGGCAGCAGACTTGGGGCCTTGGGGCGGGGTCGAGACGCCCGACCTTCAGACCCCGAAGAGGTCGTTGTAGCACCCAGTTCCAAGTCCGTAGCCGCCTGCAGCCGTCGGAGAAGCCTCGACGTCCGCAGAGACCTGGGAGGGGCATGGGGATGTCGCTTCCCCTGCCCCAGGGTGTGGAGTCCGTGGCCGCTCTTCGCGCCGCAGTCCCCACTTCCCTCCCACAGCTCAGGGGTAGGCGGCAAAGGTCCCGGCGTTACAGGAGCGCCAGCTCCTGAAGCGGGTGAGGCGCGGCAGGGCTCCAGGGCCCTTCCGCTGTGAGTGGCCTGCACCTGAGGCTGCCCTGCCTCGCTCGGAGGTGAGGCTGTGGTCCCTGCAGGCGGCGGGTGTCAGGGGCCGAGGGCTGTCCGGCGGCCGTGCTGCAGCCGTGTCCTTCCTGTGCCCTTTCCCAGCTGTGGGGTCCTGCTTAGGCAGAGGGGGCGCCCACTCTGGCCCCTTCCCGGCTCACGGGACACCAGCCATCCTGGCTTTGGCCGGTCCAGCTCCTGAAGCGGGTGAGGCGCGGCAGGGCTCCAGGGCCCTTCCGCTGTGAGTGGCCTGCACCTGAGGCTGCCCTGCCTCGCTCGGAGGTGAGGCTGTGGTCCCTGCAGGCGGCGGGTGTCAGGGGCCGAGGGCTGTCCGGCGGCCGTGCTGCAGCCGTGTCCTTCCTGTGCCCTTTCCCAGCTGTGGGGTCCTGCTTAGGCAGAGGGGGCGCCCACTCTGGCCCCTTCCCGGCTCACGGGACACCAGCCATCCTGGCTTTGGCCGGAGCTCCCTGCGGCGCAGGTTTCTACCCGCGGAGCAGCTACTCCGGGAAAGCAGAGCCCGCGTGTGTCGGCGTCGGGCCTGGCCGGTTCTCCGGCATCCCGAGGACAGAGGACACGGGCATGTAGCGTAGCCGTCGCCAGAACAGGGGGAACGGAGTGTTTATGGCTCTGCGCAGAGTGTCCAATCGGGCCCGTCTTCTGTTCCGTTGACGCTCACAGGGCACACATAGGTCCTGGCCCAGTTCTGTGTGGCGCGCGGGAGGCCGAGGCCTGCCCCTCTCCACATCTCTCTCGGCACCAAAAATCCTTCGGGCGGGCCCAGCTGCGGTCCGGGATGGCTGCTAGGCGCCTTCCAGG